CATCACAGGAATGTGAGTCGCGGTACTTCCCTGACGTGGGAGGCGGTACTGGTGAGCACCTACCGAAGTAACGATGGCCTGTGTGAGCTACTGTGGTGCTCCATCCGCCTCAGGCGCGGAGAACTGCTTGTGGGCGCAGTTTATCGCAGTCCCCTGAGTCGTTGTTTGGATTGGCTGCCCATCTTCAAGCCCACATGAGTCGTCCACACTTTCTGCTTATGGGCGATTTTAACTGTCCTCGAATACGATGGCCTGATGTGCATTTGATGCCTGGACATAGTGAGGTTGAAGCAAAGTTCGTGGATTTTGGTACTTGAAACTGGTGCATCGCAACACATATGCCAGCCAACACGCATATCAACACGTTCAACCTCGTCCTGTCTCGACCTGATGTTAACGAGCTACGAACAACGAGTGCGTGACGTTAGGATCCTGGAGCCCCTGGCTACGAGCGACCACTCAGTACTGATAGCTGATATGGAATTATCTTTGCCGTATTCACATCCGCTGCAACCAGCTCCCAACTACTGGAAAACGGACTTCGATGGTCTAGCTCGAGCCGCGAGCCAACTGGATTGGTCTCTGTCACAAGCTGCATCTGTGGAAGATTGTTGGATATTTATAAAAGAGAGATTGACATCATTGTGTTCCCAATTTGTGCCATTGAAATGTCGAAAGGTTGGACCGATTAAGCCTCATTGGTTTGATAAGGAGTATGGAAACCTGGCTCGGAGGCGGCGCAGACTGTGGGACAAATTCCTTCTCTCTGGCTCTGCCAATGATTACGAAGGGTATAAATGTCAGCGGAACCTCTGCAACAGTGCGAAAAAGAATAAACGCCGACACTTTGAAGTGCAGCTCGCATTAGCCGCGAAGACCGCCCCAAAGAGAATCTTTGCATACGTGAAGCGACGCCTGAAGCCGGCAGGTGATGTGCCAGTGCTGGATGGCACGGATGGACAGCCCCTAACCTCCAGCACTGAGCGTGCGTCCGCGTTGGCGGCGCACTTCGCTTCTGTATTTGCGAATAACCAGGTGTCTGTTCCGAGTTCGACGTGTACCGCTTTTACCGAACTCGATAGTCTGCATTGCGGCGTTGAAGAGGTAGCTCAACTACTCGCCAACCTTGACGGCACCAAACCTGCCGGACCTGATGGGCTTCACCCACTGGTTCTCAAGTCACTTTCAACCATCCTCTCTCCTGTCGTGACTGACCTTTTCAACAGGTCGCTGTCCGAAGGTTCGTTGCCGGTTGACTGGAAATGTGCGGTGGTGAAGCCTATTCCGAAAGGCGGCGACCCTAGCAAAGTAGACAATTACAGGCCAATTTGTCTGACACCTATTTTGGCAAAGGTTGCTGAGAAAATCGTGAAGAAGAGATTGCTGCAGTTGCTACAGTCAAACGAGGTCCTGACGCCCGCACAGCACGGTTTTATGCAAGGTCGCTCATGCATTACGAACCTGCTTGTGACGAGGCATGAGTGGTTGAAGGCAATAAACAAGGGGAAGTCCGTCGACGTGATATTCATCGATTTCAGTAAAGCGTTCGACAAGGTCAGTCATGAGGTTCTCCTTCACAAACTCAGCATGTGTGGCGTCGGTGGCTCACTGCACCGGTGGATCCGCGACTTTCTTGTTGGACGAAAGTGGAGGGTACAGGTCGACGACCATCTAACTGACTGGTACCCCTCTACAAGTGGCGTGCCTCAAGGCACTGTGCTGGGGCCCACTCTGTTCCTGATCCACATCAACGATCTACCGCAGCTTCTCCGGTCGCCGTGTGCCTTGTTTGCGGACGACATGAAGATTTGGAGAGAAATCGACGCTCCCGATGACTGTGGCCTACTTCAGCAAGATCTCAACCGCTTATCCACATGGTCTGCAGAAGTTCTTCTCCCGGTCAACCCAGCCAAGTCGTATTTATGAGCCTGGGGAAGGGTGCTAACGGCCGAACCTACACTCTTGACGGCCAAACGCTATATCCCACACCCTCCGTGAAGGACCTAGGTGTACTCTCACGCTACGATTTGAAGTCCGTGGACAACACGAACAGGCTATATCGGAACGGACTGCGCATGCTTTGGGCGCTCATAACATTGCTTTCCGGCCACAATGGTCTGTTGACTGGTGCACAACTTCAGAACTTCTGTTCTATTCTTCTCTCAATCCTTAGGGGGGGGGGGGGTATATCCCTATAGGCTTGAGTTCGGTTCGCCCGCCACTACACTTTCCGATTTAAACGAGGCGATAGCACAAATAGAATCGCGACGATACGGTGTCCAACTCACCGTTCGTTACCTG